TGACTTTGTGTACGCTCCGCCATTATTTATGTTTACAGTCTGACTGACTGACCACGGCGAGCAGTGTGCCACTCCGCTTACATGCATTACGCACCACTGGCAGAAGAAAAAGTAGTTCCCACCAACCATGTATCATTTAGACAAGATCTCAAGAGTTTACTTTCCCCTACCTTCCTGTTAATGACATGCATTACCTGAAATGACTGAAGTATCAAAACCATCGATATTTTCAGTTAAGAATCGATTCCAGAGCGCAGCCTCTGGTGTGTAGTATCGATATTTTATATCGATCCGCACATCGCTACTTCTCAGTGGTGTACCTGTGACCCTTCCTAGATCGATGGGCAGAAAAGTTGCTTCTCTGAGGTCACTGCTATTGTCATTCCACCCTGACATTGTGTTTACACACTCTCCCGAGCAGCAAACTGACCAAACACCTGCTTTACTGATGAAAATCAACCGATCATAATTTCCCTGATCTATAGATCTGCTGTGTAACACAGTTCAGAGTTCAGATGTTGCAGTTTTAAGGAACACAATCACTTCTAAGTCCTGTTCTCTGCCGAAACTAGACCTGGTCTAAGAACGTACTGAAGACCACTGCAGAGACATCTTTCGACAGATTATAAATGATCTGTAATAAAATATCTGTACTCTGAAGTTATTCATTCATTCATTCAGTCATGACATAAAGGTCACTAATGTTTTAATTTGTTTTACAACATATTCTAATAAATGAGAAGTTAAATAACCTCTTCTTAACATTAATATTACTGCCCCCCTCCTGGACTTTACCCTGAACTAGTAAACAGAAGACGGTCTTATTATTTGCTTGTAAGAACCGTCCGTGCTCGATCTTCCTTCTTCCTCACACTTCTCCGGACAAACTGCTGCGCGTTCATGAGCTCACGCGTTCAGAAATGACTGGAAACTGAAGAAAAGAAAGATTCTCACGATTTACTCCTCTGCGACACACATAACTCAGCCGGACGATGGCAGCCATGTTGATTAACCCACCAAGGTTATCATGTCACCCGGAAGTACTAACGTTTCGACAGCGCCATAGATATCATATAATCACTAGATTCCTCAATGGCTGCTGCGGCGCAGGAATTTCGGCCGCCATCTTGGAGCGGTCGTCCTTATTTGGTTAAAGCAGAAGATGTTTCAGCATTTCGCAGCTTATTTCTGTTCAAATCGATGGACTGTTGACGTCAGGTCTCGGGGGATAACTTTTCACAAGTAAGATGAACATACTATTGTGAGTATTTTGTGAATAGAATATTACTGTACTGTATTTATGTCCACCAGCTGATGTTATGTTCAGTGTAACAGCGTTCAGTTCAGTGTTCAGCTGCAATGAAGCTAACTGAGATCTGATGACAGGAATATTTTTCTAACAAGCATACTCACAATTTCTGTAGCATTGGTTCATTATCAACAGATATGCATCAGAATTAGAGTTTTGTTTAAGTTCTAGGATATATAAAAAAAAAATAAAACTAGGGAGAATATAGGAAATAGAAAATAAGATTGACCTCCTCTGTACAATGTTTTTGTGTAGACACAAATCTCCTATTTTCATTTTGAAGGTTTCCCAAAGAAAAAGATGTGAGGAAGAGGTGGAAGTATCTTTGAGGAGGATTCATCTGTGCAGTGAGGATTTTAAACTGGAGGATTTTGATAAAACTGATCAGATTGTCCGACTGAGAGATGGTGTGGTACCATCGGTTCACCTTCAAAGAGTAGGTGCATCATTATAAGTTCAATAGAGTTCATAAATTTACATATTTTATTGTCAGTCAGAAGGTGAGGTACCTCCATGTGTTTATATGAACAGGTAACTATAGACTGTAAAGTTCATATTCATGATGTTTTTTCATTTCAGCTTGAAAACTGCAGGATTGCAGGAACTCAACAAAAGCTGGAGCTGGTCTGTCTGTGGCCTCTCAGGAATGTGCACGTCACACTCACAACCTCGGCCTAATGATGTCCATCCATCCATCCATCCATTTTCTTTACCCGCTTATTCCATATTGGGTCACGGGGGTCGCTGGTGCCCATGTCCAGCAATCACTGTGCGAGGGACGGGGTACACCCTGGACGGGTCGCAAGTCCATCACAGGGACACATAGAGACAAACGAGACAAACAACCATTCACTCTCTCACTCACACCTAGGGACAATTTAGAGTTACCAATCAGCCTAACATGCATGTTTTTGGACTGTGGGAGGAAACCGGAGTACCCAGAGAAAACCCACGCATGCACGGAGAGAACATGCAAACTCCACCCAGAAAGGCCCCTGGACCGGGGTTTGAACCAGGGAAAGGCCCCTGGACCGGGGTTTGAACCAGGGACCTGCTCGCTGAGAGGCAGCAGCTCTACCAGTTGCGCCACGGTGCTGCCCGCCTATTGATGTGAGTATTTCTATTTAAAATTTAATTTTTTCATTTAGCCTTTATTTATACAGGTAGTCTCATTGAGTCACAAGAACTCATTTTCAAGAGAGACCTGTTTAGGAGCAGATGGTGGGGGTTAAGGGCCTTGCT